CTGAGGAAAGCAAACATATATACCTCCAACACTAAATCTCACCTGTTCGAGCTGCCTTGCACAAGCGTCATCATAGGTCTTGTACACCAGCTGTTTTATCATCTCATTTTCCAACATCAACTTCACATGTTTCGTATACAACAACGAAAACATTTGTTCGTCAGCCGAGCCTTTTATGCTCAACATGAAATTGACAACAGCATCCTTCTGTGATATGAAAAACCACTTGATTCTCTCCGCTGAAAAGTAAAATGTGCGAGCAAATCACAATTGTAAATTCCACGGAGGAAAAAAACTCATAAATTTCTGAGGATTCCCAAATATGGAAGTACATTCACAGAGATTATCTCGCTCTGTGAACAAAACTCATTGACATAATGAAAGTAGACAATTTCAACGGCTAAAACTGATCCCTCGCGAGCTAATATGCATCAATGCAAATCTAACTAAACCGTGTTGTCGTAGTAGGCGTTAGACTTCAAACTCACACACAAAAATACAAATACAGTGCTACGGAAAAATACGCATATGCTCAACTACGTATGTTGCTGATAATATCAAAAAAATTCCGCGGAAATTTCGGAAAATTCTCATCGTCCACTTCTACCCCTATAAAAAAACTCCTGAGCTAACCTCAGGAAACCAAACACATATTTCAACACCGAGATTCAGCCTTTCCTATATTCACAGCGTTGAGGAATCGCAAGATTGCAAGATTTACCTGCATATTGTATCCTAGATTTCATTGGAATCAACGCTTCCGTACATAACAACTTCACAACAACATCCCTCCATGTCACCGATCCCATAGATACACCTGATGGACATCTTAGGAAAATAATGCACATCGTGAAACACTTCGCTCCGCTGTGCTCGAGACGTGACCTTTCTCACGTATGAAGTTCTATGCTTACTAACTCTCCCGATTTGGAAAACAGAAGATTATGATATAAACTCGGGTATATAATAATCGGCACTTTAAAAGGCGCTACGAGAATCGATTTTTCAAATTTAAAATTTCATAAAACTCACGAGTAATCTATTCAACACCCCATAGGCCTTTTTCGGACCTATTCCGTATCTTCTTTACCTCGAGCTTGGATAACATCCTTCTTTTTCGTTTCCACGCCGATTTCCGAGAATCTCAAAAAAACTTCAACTTCGTACATCAGCCTCCGAAATTGCGCACCGCCGTTAATTTCAACATCGAAAGCGGGCACCTATACAAATCTTGCAATCTTACACAATCTTGCATTTCCTCAACTACTTTTATATCGTTCCTCAAATAGTCGATGTAATCGTTCAGACTTGCAAAATCCTCACTCGGGAGCATCATGAAATCTGCACCTTCTCCCTAAACAACCACATTGAAAAATCATGAAAAAAATTTTTTTCTCAGAGAAAAAAATTCAAAAAATTACAATTTCACGCCAACTCACCAGAGTTTCACGCTGAAACTTCAAGAAAACTTAGATATAGTCATGATTAATCATCTACCAAGATCGTCATCATTACTCATACAAAAGATAATGAAGATGCAGATCTCGCTCGCCCAGCACTGAGATCTCGCGCTACTAGCAATCCGATAGTGCCGAAAATTTTTATCACTTTTTTGTATTTTTCTGGACGAAAAAGAAGAAAAAATTCATTAATACTTTGCTCATCGTAATTATTCCAAATTCATAATTTATCATCCACGCACGCACGCACAACGCGAAAATTTCGTTTGTTGCGGTATATATCCTACCACCACCTCACCTCCTCATAAGCAGCGAATGCAATGAGCTCATCTTCCAACGTCAACCTCCCGGCATCCGAGCGGACGAAACTGACAACAATAAAATTTTCAAAGAAAAAATTTTATTATTTTCCCGATCCGATCCGAACGCAATCCCATAACACTCAACTGTGACGATTCCAATGAACCCAATGTTGGAAAAAATACCAACTTCGCGAGTTGGTAACAATATGAAATTTCTGACGAAATTTTGGGTTTTTTTTCTTATTCGTTTCCGTAGAACTATAGTCAAATTCGTAGTACGTAAACTTCTATAATTAGCTTTGGAATCTCCTGAGCTCAGCTGAGGGAAACCATGCAAGGATTCATACTCCAGAACTAGAAAAGTCTATTCATG